TCTGAAAGATTTTGCATAGTCAAAATATCATTTCCCAGTGATGGTATTACAGGCACAGGCTGCCACACTGGCTTTTCCTGGCTTCCAGAAGAATGAACCCAGGTCCTCATGATTGTGTGACAAGCATCTCTCCAGGCCTTCCTTTATATATTTTGTTTATTTTACCTTTTGGTTTATTGAGACTGGGTTTCTGTATGTAGTCCTGGCTGTCCTGGAACTCACTCTGTAAACCAGGCTGGCCTTGAACTCAGAAATCCACCTGCCTCTGCCTCCCAAGTGCTGGGATTAAAGGTGTGTGCCATTACCACCTGGCTCTTACTTCCTTTTTATAGTAAAGGAAGTAAATGCTTGATACAATGGTAATTTTATTTATAGAAAATTTTTTAAACAGCATATTCAAATAATTTACTAGATTAGCCAATTCAGAAGATATTTTTTTTTCTGAGAAAATATTGGTAGTTGGTATATTTCATTCCATTTAGATTGTTGACTTTGTAGTCATAAAGTTCCTAATGACCCTCATTATCATTTTAAGTCTAGAATTTATAGGAATGTTACTTTACTTCTTTCATTCTTGCTTGTGTGTTTAATCTCCTTTTACCCCAATCAGTCTTGACAGAATCTAGTCAGATTAGATTATTTTTAAACAATCTATATGCCAAATACATTTTTTTTAAAACATAGCTCAGTTCTAAAATGAGGTAGCTATGTAAGTGCCTGAAAATGGTAAGGTCAGCCAGGTTTAAAGCCAACATAGGAGACATTATTCAGTATGTAAAATTTCAAGGCACCATAAGATCTCTGAATCCAGGAGTTGGAGAGATGGCACAGTGCTTCAGAACACTTGCTTCTCTTACAGAGGACCTAGGTTGGGAACCCAACATCCACATGGTGGCCCAGAACTAACTAACTCCAGTTCCAGGGGTTCTGATGTTCTACAATTAATATGCTTTCCCAGTGAGATTTCACTCTGTACACTTAGAGATTAGTAAAAGAGAAAGCTCTTTAATTTAATGCACATCTGACTTTGGGTAACACCCCAAAAGAAGCTGGCCTTAATTAGAAGATTTTGCTAAATTATATACACCATAGGTTAAGCATTCCATATATGCTGTCATCCTTTAAATCTCTTTCAAACTCCAACCATAGGCCTAGTTACACTTTGAACAATTTAAACAGAGACAACAGACTACAACTCTCCTTAGGCACTTAAGCAAATGGAAGATTTACACAGCAAAGATATTGCATATTGCCCAAATTATTTTAAGTACACCTGTATCATTCTTTTTCAAATAGTTGTTATCCAAGGTCATTTTGCCCATCTGGCAGAATTATGCTTTTCTCAAGAGTAGAACTGGTGCTTTATGATAGACCATGACTATAATGTTGGTTGTGACCCTGCACTGACCCCTCACTGACTGCTGGAGGCATGTTGTTTCATATAGGGATGGGCATAATGGCTGGCTATAAGTCAGGGTTGTCTCCTATCTCCTTTGTTATAGGAATGGAGCCTAATAGCTAGTCAACAAACTATTGGTGAACAACCATTTATATACTAGCCTCCTAAATTTTGCTTATCTCCAACAGTCCTGGTTAGCAGAGTATTTATTTGGGAGGTGTTTTGGAGGGAGTGGCTCCCCTTGCTAAATTCTATTTTGTGTGACTTAATGTGTCCTAAAAAAATCTACTAATAAGTCTTTTATAATATCAGCTCTATACTTTTTTCTTATTTAAAACAATTTTTAATTTTAAATATATTTTGATCATTTTCTTACCCTCCCCAAGTGCTTCCAGAGTCACTCTCACTCCCTATGCACCCACCTTTAAGTTTTCTCAAAACAACAAACACCCCAAATGCAACAGCAACCCCCCCCAAAAGCAAGACAACAACAACAACAACAACAAAACACACACACACACACACACAATGTGAAGTCCATATTATATGTTGCTCAACTACTCCTGACCATAAGGCCTGTCCTGGACTGTGATATGCCCAGTGTCACTCTCTTAGAGAAAACTGATTTTCCTTCTTCCAGCAGGTATGTGACAGTTCAGTAGTTGTCTTTACCCTACTGGCTACGTTTTCATCCATCCATCTATAAATCCATAACTATTATGTTTCCCTTTCCTAATGAGAGCTATCTGGTCCACGTAGACAAGTGGTTCTCAGCACTCTTACATATAAAATAAAAATGAAAATAGAACTTTTGAGGTTTTTTTTTTTTTAAATAGTAAATTCAGGCTAATTTAGTAACTGAAGAAAATAACTCAAGAAAATTCCTGGTGAAAATAAGAGAATAAAAGGTTAATAACTAAGCCCTTTACCATTAGTGTTAATCCTTGGCAACTGTCAGAATGACTATAGAGAAAGGAATTAAAATGATAAAATTCTTTTTGAAATTAAAAGATCATTTTTAAAAAGGAATATGTAGGTGAGAGGGAGTATTTGAGTCCTCATAGACAAAAGTTAAAACATGTCATATTGTAAATACGTATATCAACTTTGTAAGGTTTTTCTAAGCCTTTCCCTTTTCCAACTAAAAGCATCCCCTCCTCAAGCATATATACTGTAATCACAATATAAGATGTAGTCTATATTTCTAGCCTTTCTAAGTAAATATATAAGAAGTTCCAGAGTTATTTTTACCTTTTTGTAATGATGATTTCAAATATAAGACTAGCTTACATTTAAGTTGTTCTTTTCACTATATTTTTTATTACTTGAATTACTGCAGTAAGTTTATGTGTATGTATTTAACAGTTGGTACTTCCTCATTGTTTAAGTTCATACTATCACAATTTGGTATTCTAATATTGCTACAGATATTATTTTATTCTGACTCTTAAAGAGTATTTTATGGAAAATATGGTATATAAGCCCTTTTGAACAATTAATTGTTCCTGCTTGCTATGAACTTTGACTTGTTAATCCAATCTTTTGAGCAATAGATTTATAGTTAAATCTACTTTACTGCCATATCAATATATCAGTCAGGACTCAGTTAGAGAAACTCGGAGCCATTTTTGATATATCTTGTAAAAGGAGATTAATTCTGATACTTGGTTACATAGGCACTTAAAAAAAATGGGAAAATAAATTGAGGAGGGGTAACTATTGAGAATCAAGTATGCACAAGGGTCACTTTTGGTCTAGATTCCCTGAGCCTACACCTGCTACTACACTTCAGAGACACTATCATGGCCAGTCCAGTTGGTCCTGTGTCTGTCACCGAAGTACTCCTTATTAAATATGTCATACTTCTTTGCCTTTTGTTCCCAGAACTTCTGAAGCAGCTCCCAGCACTTGCCAGTACTTCGTTTTCCTTACTTTTCTGATTTTCCTCCTATACATTGTGAAAGCAGAACCTTGCAGACAGCTCAGTGAGAATGTTATCTAGAAAATGGAGTGTGTTCACTTACAGTCCCATGATGAAGGTAGCAAAGCACAGTGGACAGAATTAGGGACTGTGACAGCCCATTTCGCATTAGTGTTTGGACACAGGCCATATATACTTATAGTTTCAAAGGTTAAGTTCCCTGTTAGTAGTTCTTTAGAATATATCTGAAGCATTTTTAAATTATTAAATAGGAGTAGTCTTGCAAATGAAGTAGTAAAGTCAGCATGATAAATGGGTAACTGCACACAATTCTTTCCCTAATAGACATACCCAAAATAAACATTGATCAACCCCCTCCTCCCGTGGCAAGCAATGTCTAAGAATACTGATGCTTTGGTTATACTTAAGGTGTTGAAATATTATTGACTAGAAAATGAAGCTGGGAATATTGACAAGGTTTATTGCTGTCTTCACCACTTCTGTTTACATATATGCTTATTACTGTTCAATATATCCAAGGGATTAAATGTATTAAGCTAGCAAACCTGAATATATAGCCTTCTTAGAGGAAATATATTTTTCTAGGAAACTTTAACTTAACCAACATTTATGGAAAAGTTCCTCATTTGTTCCATTAAAATCAATTATGCTGTTTAGTTCACAACTATTTAAATTTATCCTAGGAATATACTCTGAAATTTGTTTGTGTGGCTTTTGAGAACATGTGTTTGCCTACATACATGCATACATACAAACATACATATATACATATTTATTTATTTATAAATGGTTCCACTCTCCATACTAGCAATTTATGTTCAGTCATAGCTCAGTAACAGGGTCCCTTGACTTATTCACTGAGAGCTACTCTTTCATTAACACAGGTAGCTGAACACACTGATGTATCATGGAGAAAGACCAGATATCTCCTCAGCATACACAGTGTGCTTTCTAGGCAAATCAGCTTCAAGGCAGAAATAGTGCTCAACATCCACAGTATTTCTAACCTCATTTCTTTCTTATATTCAAAAATCTGAAATTTCCTGCATTGGGACATGAAGGGATAGGCTGTCTTCATGTAATAATGAGTAGTAGAAAAAGAAAGAGGAGTTATCCCAAGATACCACATAGTTCAGCCCATCCAATAGAAGTAATGGAGACATTAGCTAACTCTGCCCTGTAGGGAAAGCAGGTCTGTGGAGCTTGTTTGTTCCAGAGCATCTCTGACTCTAGAGAAAGCATGTTAGCAGGCACAACAGGAAAAGGGCTCTTGTCATCAAACATGTGTATTGGACACTTTTTTTTTCCTTTGGTTTTTTTGAGACAGGGTTTCTCTGTGTAGCTTTGGAGCCTATCCTGGCACTTGCTCTGGAAACCAGGCTGGCCTCGAACTCAGAGAGATCTGCCTGCCTCTGCCTCCCGAGGGCTGGGATTAAAGGCATTAGACACATCTTGTAAATTGAAGAACTGTTAATTAAGTTTTGTCCATCCACATGGAACTGGAAAGCAGTCAGATTTTCCCTTAGTCTGTTGCTTTTATTGTTGTTCTTGTCATCAGGAATGTCTTGTCACTTATGAAATTGTAATATAAATATGTTGTATGTTTTCGTTTTATCTTGTAGTCCCCTTTAAGATATTATGCATATTTATATATTTCAGTGGAAGAACTGAAGTCCAGTCAGTTCAATATGGCAAAGAAAAGGCAAATAAAGCCAGGGTATTTGCAAGGTAAGTCAATTCTGTTTTAGTATGTGAGGTATTTTTTTTGTGATTTTTTTTCATTTTTGTACATCTTAAGATTTTATTATGATATATGCAGTGTGTGTCCGTCCGTCCCAGGGTTGAACCAGACCAACAATTATCTGAGCTTTTTAAAAAGGATAAAAATTAATAGAAATGGGCACTGGAGAGATGGCTCAGTAGTTAAAAGCACTTTATAAAAAGATCCAGTTCAGTTCTTAGCAGCCACAACTGCCTATAACTCCAGTTCAGGGGATCTGATGCCCTCTTCTGCTCCATGGACTCTTGCATGCATGTAGTGTATACACATATACTCACATGAACACACATACTCATGAACATTTTTAAATTATTAGAAATATTTTGTAAACAATCTGTGAAGTACATAATATACTATATTTATGAAATGGAAACTAGTTTGTCTAGTGTCCTGATCCTTTTTTTGGTACATATTTATGAGCATTAATCATGCATTGATTGCAATAGGTTTGAATAGGCTAAATCAGGCATCAGTAATACAACTTTTTGTTGGGAAGTTAATCTCCTGTTACATAGTTTTGATAAATATACTGAGTTCTGTTATCTAGCCCATTTCTATATTTATTTAAATCATGCAATTAAAAGATAAGTTTCTTTCAATTTGCCTATTTAAAAATTTTATTTATCTTCCTTTCATTAAAATTTGTTAGGGCCAGTTTGCTTTTTAATGACAAAAATGATACATCAAATTTATATTTCAGAAAAATAGTTAAAGGTAATGTGTTAGTAAAGTATGAATCGGATACCTAGTGACTAATTAGGAGATAGTAATCCAAGTAAGAATAGTAAATACCTTACTAAACAGTAATGGAGTGTAGGGAACAAATTTGAGGGAACTAGCATCAACTGTTGATTGATGGCTAGAGGCACAATGAAACACAAGTGTTTTCCTAGTGGAAATTATTTTAAGATCATAAATCCCTGAAGAGTTGAATGTCTGGCAACTACTGCTGTAAGAGACCTCAAAACTTTCATAAATAATTTTATTCTAAATATCTATCCAAAAGTCCTTTCAGCTTGTGTTTGTAGAAGAAATAGTTTTGTGTTTTGTCTTTTTCTCTTTATTCCTTCCAAAGTAAAAATTGCTCCATTTCTAGCAATGAGTGACAATTCATTATATTCTGAAATCCCAATGGTATCAAATGACTTGAATAAATCATCCAAGACAGCCCTACAAACTTTGTGGTATTATTCAAATTTTTTCTTTGAATACACTTAGGGTGTGTGTGTGTGTGTGTGTGTGTGTGTGTGTGTGTGGGTGTGTGTCTGTATAACTGTCCATAAGAAATAATTTTACTACTTATGAACATAAATTATTCTAATTTAGAAAGAATTTGTTCTAGCTTTTATACTGTCTCTTATTTAAAGTTCTCCCCTATTTCTGAAAGTCAAATTATTATGCTATTTTAATGGTTTTGTACATATTAGATTTTAGAAATAGGCAGATATGCCTGCATCTTCATTGTTTTTATATTCATTATTAAAATGCTACAAAGTTTGTATAGGACTGTCTTTGGTTTTTGGAGTGTGTGGGTGGATGGGGTGCAGGTGTTTCTTTTTTTAAGGTACTCAGTTCCCAAATCCAGGGTCTTACACATGCTAGGCAAGTGTTCTACTGTGGAGCTCTATATTCTCGACCTTGGGAGCAGTTTTAATAGTGGTGGGCCATCCTAATGATTGCTGTATCTCTGAAAGACTATACTTTCCTGGGATTGTTTTATGTAAGACTCTTACCTCATACATAGCTACTAAAATTCTATAATGGTCTTATATTGTGTTAAGTCATTGTAGTTGAGAATTTCAGATTTCTTGTCTCTCATAATTTTACATGGCAATATAAATCGAAACTTAAAAAAGATCTTTAAATTTTATATGAAAAATTTTACCAATACTTTCTCCTTTTATATATCAACTCTGAGTTGCTTTCATACTTTTTTCTGTTATCATATAATAATATCTGAGGAAGAGAGGAAAACAGAGTTCTCATCAACAGAAAAATAATGTGCCATGGTCAGAAAATAAACTCACCACATTGCTAACAGTGTGGTATTTTTTTCTCTGAAATTTCCGCACAGAACAGGAAACATAGACAGCAACTTTGAGTGGGTGGGTCTCTGAGGTTAAAACTGTTAATAATGTAAAATGCCTGAAATTTAGTTTTAAAATTCAAGACATTTCCAAACATGTTTAGTTTGTTACCAAGAATAAAGTGTTCAGACAGTTTGTACTAGGTAAGTATGCTGGATTTTCAAATGATTTTTTTCCTTCTCTTAATAATTGATCGTAGTCTGTTTTAACAGCTTACATTTAGTCTAATACATGAGGAAAGATGTGCCCTCCATTGTGAGGGACTGACTCTATTGATATCCTGAGTTCAAGTCAGGAAGTTCTGTGACTTAAACTCAGAATGATAGGAAGAATTATCTGTGCTTAAATTACTTTGACTTTACATTTTGAAAATGAAATTTGAGTTCATTTGTTTGTTTGATTGCTTGCTTGTTGGTTTGCTTTACCAGTAGCATCATGTCTCTTTTAGAAGATGCCCATTGGTTTTAGAGTTAAAAGAGATTAAACCAAACCAAGACTATTCAACTGAAATACTGAAATGATACATTAATATGATTTCGATTTTAAGTATTTATTATCTATAACTTAACAAACTTTTAAGAGGCTAAAACATTGCATTGACAATTTAGACACTATTAAGTCATAAAATCGGAAGTGGTAAGGAAGTATGTGAAGAATTTATTGCACTGGTGAATTTAGATATTGAGTATAGATGATTAAATAATTTTACCAGTATAGGCCAGAATTAGCATTCCTGTCCCAGAAAACATTAAAACATTATTTTAATGTTTGCTGCTGTGAACATAATACACTGTGGAATACCATTTGCTGAGCATTGCTGTTCTCTCAGGCCATTCTGTTCGTGTAGTTAATGTGTCACAAAGGAAGTTTCAGGCTGTAACTGAAAAGTTAAACACATTGGATTTGGGCACATATTGATCTTACTGTTTGGATGTATTTGGATTACTCAAATTTGCATTTCTTTTGAGCCTTGCCTAGTATTTTTTCTTAATTTATATAAAAGTATGTTCATAGTACATGACAAGAAGGGAAAATTATGGACAGTTTTTAAGGCAAAAAAAAAAAAAACTTCCAATAATCCAAAAAGCATACATAGTAATAAGTACAGTCCTTATTATTGGAAATCTGAAAATAAAATTCACAGAATGGAGATATTTGAATATAATGGACCAACACTGAAAAAAGTATTGTTTATTGCCTTTTGTACATTTTTTAAATTTTGTATAATGTATTTTGGTCATATTCATCTTTTCTTACCCAACTCTTCTTAGATTCACTCCTTACTTCTTTTACCCTCCAACTTTGTGTTTGTCATGTTTTCGTTTTGTTTTATTTTCTCCATCAAGACCAAGTTGGATGTGTAGTCTTTCACTAGAGAATGATAGACTTAGCAGCTATACTGTTAGAGAAAACTGATCCTTTTAGGGAAAGCAAAGAACTTCCACTAAGTAGCTCCTCAGCTAGGGTAGGAATTGGTCTGGCTTGTGTTTACATAGCTTTTGTGTTTGCTGTCACAACCACTTTGAGTTCATGTTTGTGGCTGCCCTGCTGCACTATTTTATCCAAATAAGTGTTTCTATTTAAATTTTTATGATCTGATTTTTGCAGTAGTATGATGGTATTTGTTTTACTGGGATGTAACAGAAAATAACGTACATGATTTTTTTGGGTCTTGAGCAATTTATTACTAAGATTAAAAGCCATATTGGGTGACTTATTATATGTTTTGTCACTTAATTCATTTAAGTAACTTCCACAATAATTGTGCATTCAAAAGAGTACTCATTTCTGTGGGAGAGTCTTTTGGGTAGTACTTGAATTTGCATATTAAAAACTGTGGTTACTAATATTCCCCAAATTATAAGGGTTTATGTCTCTGAATATAGTTATATCATTTGCTCTGTGGAGACTAGCATTTTTTTTTTCTTGGCGGGTCACTTAATTCTGTTTTATTTATATGATAGCTGACAATAGATAAGAAAACTTAACCTTTTGTGCTGGAGAGATCACTCAGTGGATGGGATCCATTGCTGCTCTTGCAGAGGACTAAAGTTTATTTCCCAGAATTCATATCTGCAGCTTATCAGCTGCCTTCTGCTCCTGCTCCAGGAAATGTAATGCTTTCTTTTCGCCTCTGCAGGCACCCACACTTACATGCATATACACACATAATAACACATACACATAATTCAAAGTAGAATAAATCTTTAAAAAATATACTTTTATTTTCCTGCCATAAGTTTTAAAAATGCTTTTACAAAAAGTAAGGGAAAGAAATTCACTGACCATACTCTGCATAAAATAAAAATATTATATATGCAGTTTGTGCAATTATCTTTTTTGGCCCTCTCCTCACTGAAGCAGAGGTTCAGAATTAAAAGTCATTGAGGAGATAATGGGGTGAGAATTGTTCAGTGCACTCCGTGATAGGCAGCATTCCATGTACTCCAGATAGACATGAGCAAAGACCTGTAACTTTGTAATTGAAGAAAATGTTTGGTAGCAGACTACTCCTTTGCTTCTTTTTATTTCTTTTTTTAATCTTACTTCTCTATCTTATTCTTTATAGCCCCATCTTTTTTTTTGTCATATACAGCAAATATAGCCTTTTTGAAATTATTTGATAAATACTATCAAAGCAATTCATTTCTTATAAGCAAACTCTTTGAATATGATGTATTAATGAATTTTGAGATTTGACTCATGTTATATTAAAGCAAAACTTTTCTATGTATTATTCAAATTTTTCTACAGATATCCAAGTAAGCCTTTGGCACGGAAATTAATGGATTGGGAAGTAGTCAGCAGAAATTCGTTATCTGATGACAGGTTAGAAACACAAAGCCTCCCCTCCCGGTCTCCACCTGGAACTCCTAATCAGTAAGTAGCAAGCCAGCATTGTGCTTTCGTTTTTTCTATTTTCTAAGTTATTGGCTACATATTTTATTGTGTAGAGATTATAATATATAAAACTTTAAGTCCGTTGATCAAATTTTCAAAAGAATAGTTTTATTGTATTTTACTTTTTTTTTCTGTATAGGGGGCATATGCATGCATGTATGTAATAGTGGGCATAGGAGATTAGAAGACACTTGGGGTGGGGGTCAATTCTTCCACTATATATGTCCCCAGAATTGAAATCAGGTATTCATGTTTGGTGGCAGATGCCTTTACCTGATTAGCTACCTCACCAGACCCAAACATGGGTTTTGTTACTTAAAGCATTATTGCCTCTTTGCTTGCTGCTCACTGTTAGAGTGACCTGAAATAGCTTTAGGGAATGAGTGAGTAGAAGATTTGCAGGGCAGCCTTCACTTTCCTTAGTAGTTGACTTTCACAGGAAGTGTAATTAAGAATCTAGTCATGACTTTAAAATTGCATAGAGCTGTTGTTTATGTAGTCCATTTCCATGTAGGTTTCCACCTGCATTTTGTTTTATTCTGTTTTTTTGTTGTTGTTGTTTTGTTTTGTTTTTTGAGACAAGGTTTCTCTGTGTTAACAGCCCTGGCTGTCCTGGAACTCTCTATGTAGATCAGGCTGGCCTTGAATTCACATAGATCTGACTCCCTCTGCCTCTGCCTCCGAAGTGCTGTGCTTAAAGGTCTGTGTCCCCACCTCCTGGCTCCACTGGGATTTCTAAGGGAGTATAAATTGTTTAAAAATGTTATGTTTGAGTGATTGCCATTCAGTGTTCTAGCACTTTCTGTGATCTAGAAAAAGATTTCTAACTGTATCCCCATAAGCTCAGCTAGCGCTGGGGCAAGAATTGTGTGGTGCAGCTCCAACCATGTGTGTGTACTGAAGTCTAGGGTTTCTCACAAAGCTGCCAGGTTATGGTATAGATAATAAGAAGAAAGGGAAAACTTCCTCAGATATCCCATACTAGAAGGAAAGACAAGGGAAGGGGGAGGAAAGGGTGTCAGAGGAGGGGGGCAGAAAGGAAGGAAGGAGTGTAAGAGGGGTGATCTAAATAACAATAGCTCTGATTAAGTTTTCTAGGAAATGAAATAATTTTAAGGATGATCTATCTGGGGGGAAAAGTCAGTACAGCACAATGATTAAGCAGTGGCTTTAGATTCAATGTTTAAATCTTGAAATTTCCATCCCATTTTCTCATCTGCAAAATCCTATTTGTAGGTGGGCACAATGGCACATGCCTTTAATTCCAGCATTCTTGTTATAGGAAGTGTCCTACAGTCTTAATATGCTATTAAATTAGGTAATAAATGAAAGTTACTTAGAAAAATGCCCAGTACATAGCAAATGCTCAGTTATTAACTATTGCAATTACTAATTATAATGATATAACCGCCAGTTAGGATAGTTGGGTTTTTCATCATCTAGCCACAGGAATTCCAATTCCAATTCCACAAATTTAAGACATTAAGAAGAAAAAATAATTGAGAATCCATTTCTGAATATTTATTCTAGTCAGTTTCATATGTTGAATAAGGCATAAGATTAATAGTGACTGAAACCTGTCACAGATTCTATGTAGTCACATAGTCTTTAAAACACACAAACATATACCTACTTTCTCAGGAAACCATATAATCAAAAAACATGGAAAACTCAAATTAAAATTTAGCCTTTGTTTCTCTTTATTTAGTCGGAATTCTGCATTCGCACAAGAGGGCACCCGGGTCCGGCCGTCTTCAGTTGGCCATTTGGTAGACCATGTGGTTCACACATCCCCCAGTGATGATTTTGTAAATCAGAGATCTCCATCATCAACACAAGCTAATAGCATAGTTCTGGAATCATCACCGTAAGACCCCTTTTCTGTTTTTCTTCTAAAGTCTTTATTTTCAAATACTTTAAATTGGTTCATTGAAATAATCTTGGAAATTAGAGTACTTCATACAAGGTGTTATTTATATAACCATAAATACATATTTGTAAATGTATTTATTTGTTCTTGAACTGTTTTGTTGCCTCTCTTCTCTTTACCACTCTGGTTACTGAGTATTCTTTAATCTTTAGTGTATATTCTCAAATATTTAATATTAATATTTAAATATTAATGTTTAATTAATTTAAATATTAATGTTTAAATTTAATATTAATTTAATATTAATACAGGTAATTTAACGCTGTAGTCAGGGAGTAGGAGAATGTAAGACAGTCTTCTTAAAAATTTTTTAAAGGAAAAAACCATAACTATTAAGAGAATATGTTACAAAAGGTATCAAGGGAAAATAAATAAGATGGTTACCACAATCAGTTATAGAAAGCATGACCATCTTTCCTTTCTTTTTTTTTTTTCTTTTTCATATTTTGAGACAGGGTCTCCCTATGTAGTCCTCACAATCTACCCATCTCTGCACTCCCCCCACCCCCCGCAGTGTGTGCCACAACTCCTGGCTATCTACATCATTTCTAAAGTATGTTCCTACTTTTACTTTTATACTGATTGACAAATTAAGCTTCTTATTTCAGTATTTATAGCTGTCAGTCTAATGCATAGTCTCCATATCCTCACATTAATATGCAGTGTCTTGATCTATTAGCCTATATAGTAGAGATAACTCATATACATTTGACATAATTGGAGGACAATATCTACACAATAACAGAGGGGTAAGAAATACATTGTTGAAGAAAAAGGAATAATGATACAATATATAATGGATGTGATCAGTCTTTTAAGAAAGAATAAGTCTTAAAGTAAGGGGTAAAAGAGAGATGAAGAGGTTAGCCAAGTGTTATAGCTATTCTGGGAAAACATGATCCTGTATCAGCCATGGTTGTCTTTAAGCTAAACAAAACTAAGCTACCAAGACATGTAAAAGTCTAGCCTTTGTAACTTATATTATTGTAAAAAGACATTTTGTATGTCTATGTTACAGAAGAATATAACATATACAATACACAATGAAACCTGTAAAAACTGAGTTGGCAAGAGGTAGAACTGATGGATATTTAATATTTTATTACTTTGGAAATTATAACTAACTTTTGTTAGGTTTTGACAATCATATTTTCAAGTTTTGAAAGTTTAAAAGTATGAAGTAAACTTTAAGACATAACCAAACAGTTCTATTTTATATTAATTATATCCTTGAAAGATTGCATGTATTTTCTAAACTGCCTGTTTATCTTTCCTTGAGCACTAATTAGTGTTTTAGTTACTTTTGTGCATAACTGATGGAATACTTGAGAGAACCACTTAAATGGGGGGAAAGATGTACTTTAGTTCACAGTTTCATAGATTTCAATCTAGAGTACCTGGTGATTGATTCTGGGCCCGTGGTAAAGCAGAATGTTATGGCAACAAGGGCATGCAGCAGAGACTACTAACTCATAGTTGTCCAGAAGTAGAGAGAAATGCAGAAGGGACCATGGATTAGGTACTCCAGGAGGTACAACCCCCCAGTTAGGTTGTACCTGCTGAAGTTCCACAACTTCCCAACATAACTACCTCAAGCTAGGAACCAAATATTTAACACATGAGCCTGAAAGGAGTATTTCATGTCCAAACTATAATAGTCATCTATTTAATACAGTAAATAGTCATCTATTTAATACAGTGTTTAATTAAAGAGTCCTCTCAGCATCAGTGCAAATCAGCCAAAGAGTCAAGAAACCTACATTTGAAGCCAAAGTTTTATAATTTAAGTGAAATTTCAGGTTAAATGAATGGTAATTGATGATTCATACACATTCTTCCCAGAGCATCTAGATTTTCATTCTGAAAGTCCATGTTGTATATAATTTTCAAAATGTACTCATTAACATTTTCTAAAAACAGTGAATGGGCTAAATATTTGTTAGCCGAAATTGAACAATCCCTGAATTTACAAGCACTGTCCAGGACAATAATTTCTAATCACAAGTACACTGGGGAGCCACCTCCCCAGCCTTTAACTGTATATATAGACTGTTTTAACCCACAAAAATGTGGTTTTAACAGTTTTTTGCAAAATCTTTCATATACATGCCATCCCTCTCACATAGCAGAGCACTGCTACCATTATGCTTGTACCCATCAGCTTTCACCACTCAGATATTCCTCAGCAGACCATGCTTCAGTTGAGCCTGCTATGTGTTTTGGCCAGAACAAGAATAAGAAAAGTTTCTCTGACTCCATTGCCAGCTAATTTTAGCCTCACACACCCTTTGCTTCCAAGCCTTTGGTTTTGAGGGTAAATCCTTCCTGAGTAAGCAGCTGTTTGCAAGGCCAGAAAAATCTTAGATTTGGGAGCCATTTAATGCCCACATTTTTAGACATCTGTGAGCTTCTACCAAAGGATGTCTATTTTAATTACCTTCATACCAATGCAGGCCATGGTCCAGGCCTGTATTCAGGATCATAGAAATACTTCTGTGGACTAGCAGTGCTTAAATACATTAGCCTTTAGAGGCTTGTCTTCTTGGCAGTTGAAAGGAACAGAAAAGGGGGGAGAAAAAAGGAACCTGTGATACCTGGCCATGAAGGCAGATCTTAAGGAAGTTTTTATTGAAGAAAAGGGGTACATACCCTGATGCAGTAATTAATAGATCTACCAGAATTTGTAACATTTGTGAATTACCAAAGAATAATGGGGAGGATTAAGAGAGGGAGATGTGTTGGGAGGGGGGTAGAGCTAGTATAAATATGAGCAAGTATGGATATGTATGAAATTGTCAAATAATAAGTAAAAGATACTCTTTAAAGAGTGTTTGATCTGTGAATTGCTTTTACACAGACACCTAGGTAAGTGGGCACTATTGTGGACTTACTTAACTTAGTTATGTTTTATGCCAGATTAGAAAACTTCATGGCTGTTTTCTTAGCAGAAACTTCTCTGGGAAGCCATGAAGTCACACTATTCAATTTTAATCCACCCCTCCTCCCCAGCCCCAACTACAGGTCTCTAGGAACCAACTTCTAAAGAGGTTCATGCCAAGAGAGAGAATGTATCCAAGGTTACTCTTGTCATAACCTTTCATTTATCTTGCGTTAAATTATGCTGTTATAGCAATTGAGCCTCACTTACATAAAAGAAAAGTTTGTTGCTGTCATTGCTATATGTTCATTTGTCAGTTGTGGCTCTGTTCCATACCAGGACACTTGAGTGACAAGTCTCTGTTTGGGACATGGCTAGTCTCATGGCATGGAAGACTCTTCAAGAAAGAAGAGTCAGAATGAATCACGATCTATTTGAAAAAGCTCCCCTTTGCTCTGCCACTTCAATTCATATTTTATCCACCAAAGCAAGTCATATGGACAAGCCTGATATCTTCCCTGGAGAAGAGTAAAGGGTAGTGTTTAAAATGATAACATCATTTAGACATCTATTATCAGTCCACAAAAGTGAGTAATGTTTGGTCAGCTCTCTTCTTGATTATATCAAGAGCCATTTTTAGTGCTGGAGAGATGGTTCACATAAGAACACTTGCTGACTCACATGACAGCACTCACATGACAGATCATAACTGTCTGTGACTCAAGTGCCAGGGAATCCAGTACCCTCTTCTAGGAATGCATTTGATATACATATGTATATTCAGATAAAACAATCACACATATACTAAATTTAAGAAAGAATCAATTTTAGTTAGATATAGTAGCATATGCCTTTAATGCCAGCACTCAAGAGACAGAGTTCAAGACCAGCCTGGTCTACATAGTGAGTGCTAACCCAGCCAGAGATACACAAGGAGACTTTGTCTCACAAGGGAAACAGACACAATTACGAAAAACAGCAACAACAAAAATAACCATTTTTTTTTATCATGCTGGAAAAACTAGAAATTCACTTGTAAAAGACTAAAACTAATTCTCTTGATCTCATTCTGTCCAAAATCAACTCAAAATGCTTCAAAGACTTAAATGTAAGACCTGAAACTAATAGCAGAAGACAAATGGAAAGCACTTCAAGACCAGAGTGTGGACAAAACATGTTTCTGAATAGCACTCCAATAGCTCAGGAAAATAGGACAGCAAAAACTGACAAACAGAATTGCATCAAATTAAGAAGCTTTGCTTAGCAAAGGAAACCGTTTTCAGAGTGAAGAGACAGCCTGCATAATGGGAGGAAAATCTTTGCAGATATTCATCTGATAAATTAGTATCCAGAACAAGTAAAGTACTTGAAAACTTGAAAATAATTCAGTAATGAGTGGGCAGATAAACTGACCAACTAGTTCTTAAAAAGCAGTACACGCCCTTATGTACTTTCATTCATGTGGCCTGTTTTCACTCTTGATCATCATTTGACCTACTTCTTCGCTCTGAATAAAGTTATGTTGCTACTGTAATTTAAAAAGTACAAGTGGCCAATAAAAACATGAAAACATTCAACAACCTATTTAACCACCAGGGAACTACAGTCCAAAACTGCTTTAATATTCCATTTCATCCCAATCAGAATGATTATGATAAAAAATAACAAGCCAGGAGGTGGTGGCGCACGCCTTTAAACCCAGCACCCTGGAGACAGAGGCAGGAAGATCTTTGTGAATTTGAGACCAGCCTGGTATACTATGATATACAGAAACCATGTCTCAAAAAAAAACAAAAAGCATTCAAACAAAACAAACAAACAAACAAAACCAGCCGGGCATTGATAGCACACGCCTTTAATGCCAGCACTCGGGAGGCAGAGGCAGGTGGATATCTGTGAGTTTAAAGCCAGCCTGGTCTACAGATCGAGTGCCAGGATAGCTCCAAAGCTACCCTGTCTCAAAAAAACAAAAAACTTACAAACAAAAAAACCCAAACAAAAAAGGACTGGCAGTGTGGAGGTTGTATAAAGGAACCCTTTTACTCTGTTAATGGCAATGCAAAGTAATGCTACAGAAATCAGATGGTCCTCAAAAAACCTGAAAATAAAACTACCATATGGTTCATCTTTAGTACTCCTGGGAATCAGTGTCATACACTAATGCTAACTACTTACCCATGTTCACTGGGGATATTCACACAGCTAAATTATGGCATCAGCCAAGGTGTCCATCAGAAGAATGGATAAACAAAATGTAGACTTTAGATACAATGAAGTATTAATTATTCAGCCATAGGGAAAAATGAAATCATGTTGTTTGGAGGAATTTGGATAGAACTAGAGATCATAGTGTTAAATAAAGAGAAGTTTCTGTCATGTGTGAAACCTAAATTTAAAAGGAGGTTATTGAGAATAGACCAAATGCAAGGAGGACATTAGTACAAAAGAATAATGAAGAACAAATGTGATAAAAAACACATAATAGACATTGTATATATAAAATTACCATTATAAAACTTTTGTTCTATTAATTTTTGCAATTAATATATATTAAATTTTAAGAGGAAAAATGATTCCTGTTCCTGCTCTCTTTTTTCCAAGCTCTCTTTCATGGATGCCATCATAGTAGGATAGAAGTTGAACCACTGGTTTTTCCTTCTGGCTCTTGTGGAAAATCACAAGTTATGTTCTATAAAGTGTTTGTTCTTAAATGTTATAATTTCTATCTTGAAATCTCTCCCAAATACCTAGCTGTCAGTTCCTGTTGCCACAAATTAGAGTTATACTTTTTAATGTTTATAAATTGTTGTTTTCTCACCTGACAAGATTCCATGCAGTTTTGTCTCACCAATGATGACCTTAATATTCTAATCTCTGTCACATGATTGCATTTATTAACCTCATAAGCCCTGGTAAAGGAGAACAATCATTTAAGATCATGAGACTATACCTACCAGGAGGGTTTTTTTTTTTTTTTTTTCTGTTCAATACCCAATACTCAGATTTTTTCTTTATTTCGAGGTTGTAAGTACATCATTTCTCCTTCCATTTCCTCCTTCAAAAACCTCCCATTAACCTCCCCCACCCCCTTGCTTTCTTTCAAATTGCTGGAACTTGTGGTAGACTCATTTCCATTTTCTTGAGGAGTCGCCATACTGATTTCCAGCTTGGTATTGGCACAATAATAGACAGGTAGACCAATGGAATAGAATTGAAAACCCTGATATTACCCCACACACCTATAAACACCTGATTTTTGACAAACAATCCAAATTTATACTATGGAACAAAGAGAACATCTTCAACAAATGGTGCTGGCATAACTGGTTACAGACATGTAGAAGACTGCAGTTAGACCCAAACCTATCACCTTGCACGAAACTTAAGTCAAAATGGATCAAAGATCTCAACATAAATCCAGCTACACTGAACCTATTAGCAGACAAAGTAGGAAATACCCTTGAATTAATTGGTACAGGAGACCGCTTCCTGAACATTACACCAGTAGCACAGACACTGAGGTCAACAATTGATAAATGGGACCTCCTGAAACTGAGAAGCTTCTGTAAGGCAAAGGAGACAGTCAGCAAGACAAAACGGCAGCCCACAGACTGGGAAAAGATAT